ATCTCCAGGAAAAACCCTATGATCTAGAAGCTGATGCCGGTCCTGGTCTCTCCCTGTCGTCTCGCGACTGTTCTCCCTTCAGACACCTCCCTTTCCTCGCCTGGAAGCAAGGCTCGAGAAAGCGGGGCGATAGGATATCCCACCAAGTGACGTGGTCCTCACTCAGCTCAGCTATTCAGTTGGACCGGAACCCTAACCAAGGGTTCCTGCTATGGCGACCTCTTCAAATAGATTCACGCATCCCTATAACAAGGGAAGTTCCCCCTGGGCTAAGCCTCTGACAGGAGCGTTTACGTCATCTGGGATAGCTTCTAAGGACTCGCAGATTTATAGGGTACCTAGCGATTCTGTGTTTACCCAAGCTAACCACGGGGAATGACGGCAGCAGACCGTTCTCCTCTTCTGCCCCGCTGCTGGCGGCGAGGAGTCACGGTACTGATGGGGGCAGGTTTCCCCCTCACTTCTCCCATTTTTCTCGTGGATTTCACACTGTTGGCATTTTATATAGTTTCCCTTAGCCAATACGTGTTGCTTCCCCTTCGAAGTTCCGTACATACCTATGCTTTCTATTTAGTTCTGGTTGTTGATTAAAAAAATTTATTTTTCAAACTGACTGATGTTCCTACCAATCTAAGCAAAGGGAATTAGACCCGAAAAGGAGATAAAACGGGCACCGTCCAGGGGAAACTACCTTTTTATGCTCGGAATATCAGGATGGAAGAAAATGAGTGAAAAATTTCAAAAACATTTATTTATGAAATAATCAATTTAAACTAATATAAAAACAATACCATGGTACGAAACATGTGATGATAAACTCAAGATAACCCTTAGCTAGCTATCTCTAGCTCATTTAAACGGACACCACTATTTCACACATTTTGTTCAAATATCATTTTATTCCACATTTTATAAATCATATTCTGCGTACGAATTGAAATGGAAATAGATATCTTATTAAAACCATTTCATAATTTAATGTTAGTACAAATGAATTTCTAATGAATGTAAACGTTTCATAGTCCTGATAATGACAATTAATGGATTCGGTTCATATCTCAAACTCTTGGTGCAAATCATGTCTTTCTCATATTGATGTCTTTAAGCTTTGATTCACAATAATATTCACATATAATATCAAAAGTCATTAGACCACTCAACTGCAGCCTTAACATCATGCTCCAAACTAAATAGATAAATGCATCAATATATCAATATATATGGTTTTTTTAACCTTTTTAAAAAACCTTATTTTCTTCTCTACTACACAACTCTAGAGCTGATTTCATAACCGGGTTGATATTTTAATTTATCCTGCTTTTAGTTTGATGACATGCTCTCTCTTTGGCGTACGTTAACTTGGGCTAATTTAGGTTCAGTTTGATCAAAGCAACAATAAGTAACCTAGATTACGTTATCCGACTTATAGATCATTACGGTTACTTTGGATAAACCAGGAAAACTATTTACATGGAGGTCACAAAATTGTCTCCACCATACTTAGTCAAACTTACTTTATCTCATGATATAAAGGCAAAACGGTCACAGCATTTTGAAGATCTCTCGTTTCTTATGGATAGCTTTTTGATAGCCATCGATTAAAGATGTAAGCATAGTTGTTGCAAATTACCTGTTTTTTTTTAATCTTACGAAGGCAGAAATATGATTGACTCTTGGGACATAGGCTAGGTTAACAATTTTCTTTAGATTCTTCGCATGTAAAGATCAACTAAATGAAGAATTAAGTAATGGATATGATGGTCAACACCTGGATATGATGGTCAAAACCTTCCTCTATGAATTCCGCTATTTTTCATGTTAGACCTAGACTCATGGCTATGTATGATGTAGAACCGCGGCGATTCACCTTTCTGATCTCTTTTCAAACGAGCAACATCCAGTAATCTCAACTAAAAATCACACATATTATCTAATATACGATGCTCATGATTTCCCATAATAAATATACAAACTGGCTAATCTTCCAGGTTTCGTCTAAAGCGGCGGCTACTCGATGGAAGAACCCAGGAATGGGCAACGGTATTGGAGATAGGATCCGATGACAACACCTTTTGCAACCACTATTTATGGTTGAGAAACGTTGACCTTATTAGCTGACTTAATTAAGCAAGCCAGGCGAACCCGTTATTCGCGCATTAATGGTCTAGTTCTCCGGTGGCCTGCTCTTTGTTGCCTCAACGGATTCGTCACTGACTGGATGCTGTCCCTACCTAAAATGGGGGAGTTGCTTTGAACATTTTTGAGTAATTTAGGTCATAATCTTGTAGGTTGAAAACACAGGAAACGATGGTTGGATTTAAATCGAAGTCGCTGCAGAGAGCACAAAAAGGAGTGATAAATTTGAGGGTATGCAATTGCGTAAAATTGGGTAGCATTGTCGAAGAAATTTCGAATTTTGATTTAAACAGGTCGCCCTCAAGAAGGATATCGGGGATCTGCATGAAGGCCGGAAGATCATCACTGCAGCTTTGGGAAGTTTTCTGCACATGTTAGCGCCCGCATGAACTGTATCGTACAGCGGCAAGAGGATCTCGGAGGGAAGGAAGAACTGCTGGTCAGAATATCAATCTGATGGTCGACGGCAGCTTTGACAGCTGGATTTGGCTGAGGATGGGTAGAGATAACCTCGACGGCGCCGAACTAAACAGCCGCTGCAATGAGCTTCCACCGGGAGACTCTGTCTCTCCTCCATCTCTGGGGCTTTCTGGCTGTTAGTTCGTTCTGCCGTACGTTGGTTCGCTATATATAGAGAACGAAATGTTCTCCTGAAACACTACCAGTTTCGTGTGACAAGAGTATTATAAGATTTGACATTGTTTTCTCTTAAAGATGTCTGAGGTTACTTATAAACAGTTGACCTGATATTATAACGATGTATACTTCCTTACAGGCGTACGGCTCAGTAAAATCTCCTTATCTTCTTTCGGTTGACGAGAATTTGGTAACGTTCACATAAACGAGTGAGTTGGGATGGAAACTACAGACTTTCCCCGATTCTTGTGGTGAACCGTACACTTGATGGATCATAGCTCGACAAAGGCGCGCGGGACAGGGCAGAGAGATGGGGAACTAAACGCGGTGCCGGCGGACATGACGGGTGCAATGAGGAAGGTAAACCTTGTCCTGGGTTCGGACAACTCAGATGGCTGCGATGACAATGGTCTGTAAATTGAAAGGCCGTAAATGGACCATTATTTAGAATGCCAAAACGAAAATCGATAATGACATGTAAATTCTTTTAGTTTTAATTGCATCTTATAAATTCTAATGGATGCGATAATTTTGCATCGTTTTAAAGACAAAGGTGTTACGAAGCATATGAATTCTGGTCACCAATCGAACCCACCAAGAAGGTTGTAGAAGTAGCCTCATTAACAATCTGGATATTCTTTACGGTTATCTAAAAAAAATAACATATTTGAAAAGCTATATAAGTAATTGTGTAATTATAATAAAAGTTCATCAAATGGTTTTTCATCTGACGGTATAACTCTCAAGAAGAGAGTATCATCTTCTGGATAAACGTTTCAAATAATATTGTTGATGGGGAAATAAGTTCTCAACCTTGTGAAGGTAAATAATTAATATTGAAATTTGGTCGTGTTGATTCTGGAGTTCAAACATTGTGTAACCTTACCGAAGGAAAATCATCAAAGAATGTCATTGTTATTTTTATCTGACCTTATCTCCAAAAAATTGAAAAAACTTCGAAATAAATGTGTCAAATAATGACCATGGAGATATGGACAGCGATATCAAATATGTATCCCACTTCAGTGATATGAATAGAATAATTGGACCAGAAGATGATGACTGCTGTCTTTGTGAGAGGTGGCACTCGGGCACTCTCCAGTTAGGTCCTTGCCATGTAGAGAAGACAGCTTGGTGGGAAAGACCTCTAGCCAAGTCAGTCGGCTTGTGGTCAACTAATTCATCTGGTTGACCTAGACGACTATTAATTGGATCGAGATTATTTACCAATAATTCTTTTAGACATTTTTTTAATTATCTCTCCTTTACAGGCCTAACTGATTTAGAGCAGTGGCGCTGATTAATTTCATTCTTAATATAAACGTATGCTAATAATCTTTGTCAGTTATTTTCACTCATTTTTGTCATTTAATATGGCTTGCCTTTTTTCAAGGCTGCCACATTAAATGCTCACATTTAATTCGGAGAGGAGAAATTGAGTGTGAGGGGGAAATGGTCAATCAGAAGACCAATTCTGATGGACTCAGCAGCCCATTTATGGGCTGTGCAGGCTAAGGAAGAGAAAGAGTGTTTGAGAGAGAGCTTCCAAGGAAGATCTCTTGAGTTGTTGAGTGGATCAGAGGGCTAAGATCAGAGGGCCAAGTTGCTGATTCTCTTGTATTACTTTCCACATCTAGTGAAGCTTTCGTTGTCATCTGTGGACATAAGAGCCCAACCTCCGAACCACGTAAAATCCTTGTGTCGATACTCTTATTGTGAGTTACTCTTTCTTCTACTTTACTTTGCGTCATGAACATTACTTACGCGAAAAGTTTATATAGGACGTCTTGCTCTAACAATTATAAATCAGTAAAACATTCCATCCAAAATGATCGAGTATTTTTCTTCATAGAATAACAGTGACGCAGATTAATTTCATTCAATATATATAAAAGTCTAACAATGCTCGTCTATGAGCGATCAATTATGGGCCTTGGCTGGTGATCTGGGCAGTTTCCCATGTTCTCACAGACCGACTTAGCCTTTGCCAAAGACTTGGTCTTCAAAATGTCGAGGTTCGCATGTTGACAAAGCCTTTAAAACATTAAGTGCAGTAACTCGGGATCAAAAGACGGGCAACCCTTGGATAATAATACGTTAATACGGTCAACAATGATAAACTTTAGTGTGAACACCGACCATTTTTATTTTGCGCCCCTCAACTCTTGGTGTGTATTTTATAAAGCAGAGAAACGTACCCAGGAGAAAAGCCGCGTAGAAACAAGCGATCAACCAATCATCGCCTGATTCTTAGGCGGCGTCAACGCTACGCCTTGGCTTTTCGCGACGTTCGCATGCCAACCTGCGGTAAGAAATTACTTGAGCAATCTAGAACTCTTGTCCCTAGAGATAAATTCTTTTCAATGTTGCAGAGAATCAGCAGCTAGTGTGCGAAGCCCGGGCTTCTCAGAGAAGTCTCTGCACTCACCTATTTCTGGGTCGAAACCCCTGTTGCGCAGCTCCCTGTACTCCTGGCAGAGGGCGCACGGCTCAAGGATGAAGTGTACAGCCCAGTCCGGCGCCGGCGTCTCCACGAGGTCGAACTTGGCTCGCAGCCTCGAGCGGTACCCGCACGATATCAGACACGGCATCCCGATCATGGCGGCCACGCAGCCGTACATCACTCCGTTCGTGTTGCATGCTGCAGAATCAGAACAGAACCATAGTTAGAGAACCCGAGCGGAAGTTTAACTTCTGGGGAGAAATCGGCGCCGTTGACTTTTTTTCACGTACTCGAACGGCCTTCGTCGATGATCTCTGCGATTTGTCCGAAGGTGACGCATGGTAACAACAACGTCGTGACGGCTGTCAGGAGTTTTTCAAAGAGACGAAGATCGCGTGAGTCCGCTCTTGTAGAGAAGAAGAGAAGATGTTTTACGGAAGGGAGAAGGGAGAAGGGAGAAGGGAGAGCTATTACCATTCAGGGGGTCGTCCATACAATCGAAGAGCTCGGTCGTCCAAGGCGAGCTCCCCTGCAGGACGATCCGCCCCGGCGTCGACGGAGGAAGACTTCTGACCGGGTATCCCGGTGAAGGAGCAGCAGCCATTGAGGCGTGCTGTTGGAACGCCGGCGCCGGGGAATAATGCTCTGGTGGGAACTTCACGGGCACCGGATCAGGATTGCCGGCGTAGCCGGGAAGCTGCTGCCCGGCGGGTGGGAAGGCTACGGGCATGGATGGAGGACGATACGTGGTGGCGTCGCTCGGTGGCGGGTAGGCAGCGTTGCTGGGCTGGTAGGGGGCATTTCTGAGCGGCGGATTGGCGGCACTGCTAACCGGGTGGGCACCTTTAGCAGTCGGAAAATAGGCAGCGTTTCCTGGCTGGTAGGCGGGGTTGCCTGGCGACGAGTACGTAGTGTTGCTAGTCTGGTAGGGGGGATTGCTCACCGGGGGATAGACAGCCTCAGTTGGCGAGCAGGCGACTTTGCCTGGCGAGGGGGTGTATGGAGGTCTTGGCGGGTTCGTTTCTTGTGGTGCGTACCCCTGTGAGCTAGTGGGGTGTCCCTCGGCCTTTGGCTTTCCCATCTTCTATATCCTCTTCAATGTTTCATGTGGGATGCTTGGGTGTGCGACCTTATATAGCGGGGGAAGGACTACCGAAATAATTGAAGAGGCAAGACATACAGTGGAATGAAATTTCTCGGTGGTTCATAGTTGGTTGACATAAGATCCCTTCTTCGAAAGTCTATTGCGTAGGAAACCAGATGACACCGCAGAGGTGGGTTCGTGATGTGAATGCAGAGCTGGATGGTTTGACGTGAGTTTTGTGGTGTTGTCTCTCTCCCTCTTTTTAAAAGCGGGTTTGACCGCTTTTATTGTATACAAGATAGTAACGTTTAGTTTGTCGGCGGCAAGAACGATGAATGCGTGGAATTGAATGCTACCAGTTATAGCACATGGCTTGGTTCAATGTTACCAATTCAATGAATCGTCCTAATGGTAACACATCCTGCTAGCTTTGGTTGCATCTCTGGCGCGTTCTCGCTCTTCAGGTTCTGTTCTGTGTTAGAGATTTATCGTTACCTTGAGATGGCGGTGATAGACTTCTCGTTATCCCTACGGGTCAGGAAGCTGAATAGTGAGAATTAGGTGAAGCTTAGGTTAGCGGTTGGGGGCAGGATGGGAAACCCAGTCGACGGGAAATGGCGATGGCTGACTTTCGATTATTCCCGTGTCGAAACAGCTCAGCATTGAACTATCTTTCATCGATGACCAGTTCCACGTGGTGTGGGAAAGAAGGCGGACAGATAGCGAATTAGTAGGAACTGCGGTGGACTGACAGCGAAGGGGGATTTGAGACGCATAACTTAAGAGTTTCTTCAACCCTACGACCAGCTATCTCATCTAGCTATCCTGATGGCCTGCAAACTGAAGGGGTTAAATTAACCATTCCTTTTCAGCATCCGGAACCAAGGAATTTCGTCAGCAGATGTACAAGGAGATATTATCCACCTACAGAAAAAACTACAGTGCCTGTATTTGGGAACGATCCAGTTTCAGATTCGGCTCTTGCATCTGTTGTTATATTATACAGAAGTTGTAAGTGGTCAAGTAAGGTATTTTAGGCCAAAATTGCTGCTAAAAATACTTGACATATGCGATTCTCTATTAACATTTTATCAGCACTAATCATTTTTCTGATGCCAACAAAGAACTTACCGTTGGGAATACATTAGAATTTTTTTGGATATTTTCAATTTTCATCTACATCAGTTTTTTTTAATATCATTAGTGCTCATTAGTTCTCATCTATATATAACCACATCAGCCTGTATTCCCATTCTAAATCACACAGTATTTCGTTTTTATATTTGATGGTTTTAGTAGAATGAAGGGAAAAATAAAATTTCTAGAAATAGAATAAGTAATGACAAGGTGTACTTTATAGGAAAATGGAAAATTTGAGCAAAGAACTTCCACTATAGTGACAGTTATCAGAGAGCAAACAGCTACTCAAAATGTTTTCTCTAGAAGGAATGAATGCACATTCACAATATAATGATTTTGAATCCACCCAATTTCAGATAAAAACTCTTAAAGTATGTCATAAAACTAACCTTAATATTGAAGATTTCAATTTTTTGGTTACATATTGACATGTTACATTGGAAAGAAGATTAAAATACAATAAAATAGGAAACCTATATTTTAAAACCTGGAATGAAAATAGGTAACGTCAAAAGTTAATCGAATGACAGGGTGAAATGTCAATTCAATATGGAGATTCATCTCAAATATATTTGAACTAGAAATTTTGTCATGAAATGTGGTTTTGAGGAACAAGATGTTATCCCAAAAACTATGAAAGAAAATAATGAATGAAGAATAAGTATACCAAAGAAGGTGACCATTAGACAATGACTGGACCAACCATTGGTAAAAAAGGCTGAGGGTTTAAAAGTTATCTACCATATTATGCACAAGGAAGTTGATTCTACTCAAAAGTGCAAGACTCAATTGGTGGTAAGAGGATAATCAACAATTCTACATTAGTTTTAATCACAAGGAAACATATGAGTACTTAAACATATGTTCAGAATTGAAGCTGTTAATTTTGGTTTTAAGGAGGCTTTAAGAGGAACCAAGAGAAGGGAGATGAATTGGTATTTTCAGATCACTCTAGGATTCTTTTTTGTCTATCAGAAATCCTAAATTTATAGTGGTTTGGCAACCTGACCTACTCTATTCTCCAAGGACATTTTTAGTAGGTTCCACTTAATCAAAGTGGTACGAATATTAAACATCAAGGCTTCAACTAGCTTCTACTAAGTTTCACAGATCTAGTCAACTTGGTTCCCTCTAGATTTTGGCTAGAGGGGACCAATTAGATTAGCAGCCTACCAATTTCTCAAATATTCAAGGCTTAAGGGTGTCTAGGTATGATAAGTGTGCAACAACTAGATGAGAACAAATAACTACTTAAAAATTAGCTTTTTTAATGTGAATGTATTTGCTCAAGTGTTAAAATGTCTCATGGAGAGGAAGTCTTTCAACATTTTGAAAGAAGTTATTTGTTTTAAATCATTAAATGATACTTTTTGGCTAAACATTGGGAGACACTTTCACATAATGATCCATTTTTATAATTTAATAATATCTTTTGTTGCAAAGATAGTTATAGAGGCAATCCTAGTGGCTACGCGTTCTCCAATACCTACCTGAGGCTATTGTAATATTTTGTAGATTTTCCCTCTTCATCATGTAGCCTTGAGTTTGTTACCTCTTTTCTCTCTTCACTAACTTCTTTCTTGTAGCAATGAACACAAAAAATATTGTTGGAAACTAGTTCTAAAATTTAAAATAATTTATAAATGATATTAGAGCAGTTGTAACATAACCAAACATTTCAAGCATTACTAAGATCTTAAGATATTTTATGATGTAAAATTAGCCGTTCACACTGATTCTCATCTTATGCTTTTTAGCCTACTAGAAAAGGTATTTAAAATACAAAATTAACTTTTTCACTATCTTTTTGATAGTGAGTCATTCAAGTGGGCAAGTTAACTCTTGAGTGGACTCTCTTCTTGAGAATAGGAAGAGGTGATAGGTCATACAATCAGTTGGAAAATTACATGCGACTATATGAGGGTTGAGAAAATATTGTCGTTTTTTTATAGCTCATAATACTTATGGTAGGATAGCACTAATGTTTTACTCTTCTGCCAACTTTTTTGTCATCAAACCTATAAAGGATTTGAAGCTAATATTAACTACATCAATTTGATGTAAAATCAATGCCTCTAAATATAAAGTTTGAAAATGAAGTATGTGTTGAGGAAAGTACATTCACTTTACAAGTCTTGACTAAAGGATTATAAAAGTTATGTTGCTCTATTATAACATCCCTCAATTAGTAGATTAGAAAAATTCATGATAATAACTTATAATGATTGATAGTTCACAATAATAAATGGAGCAATGGTTCCCTAATTAAGAGATTTTTACTAGATCACAAAACAATAATCTGTCTTGCATCTTGTAGCCATGTGAGTGCCTTGGTCTTTTTGTTGGGACTCCAGTCATCATTGAACCAATCATCTTTTCCCTTTCCTGTGATTGTGGATTGAAGGTTTTGTAAGCCCAAATAAGTTGAGAAGAATCTTTCAATACACTAACAGTTTTTCTTGAGTTAATATTTTCACATAGATTGACTTGTTAGCTTGATCCTCACCTTTTACATGAATTTACTACTTGAAAAACTTAATTCTAAGTTGGAGGTAATATAGAGGAAAATAAAATATTTCTCTATTAATATGGCCATTGGAAGTTAGTAGAATTTCTATGCAAATCTCATACAAAAATCTTCACAGATCTCCACAAATTTTCAATGACTATTTTCTCTAAAATATAATTAATTTGAACAACTAAGAGACCAATATGATATCTCTTTTAAACAGTTTGAATATTCTCAAATAAAATAAATACATGATTCTTTTATCACTTAACATTCATATCTAAATCATATCAGTTCATATTAATCCATTAAAAATCTAATGACATAAAAGTAGAATTAGTAAAACATGTCTCATTAAAACTATGATAAAACAATCAAAACTGATCCGAATCATCTCAAACAAAATGTGATGTCCAAGAAGACATCTTGATCAATGATTATAGTATATAAAATCATGACTCCATTGATTCAAATACTTAACATAAGTTTTAATATATATCCAATATTGTCTAGATAATTGTATTTGACATGAATATACAATCGTAATATGCTCTATTTATTCAAGTCAAATATTTCAAAACTTATATTGTAAACTTATTGGTTCATAAACAACTAAGTAAGTTTTTATATCCATATTTTAATTCATAAAATCTCATTGATTTGAGTATCTTAAATATTTATTTTTTTACTATAATAGTTTTTTAAATATTATTAAATTCCACTTACTATACAAATTAATAATTCTTCATGTTGTAATTAGTCAATTTAGCTAGTTTAACATCATTGGTCACAAATATACTTCAGATGTTCTCATATGAACTTTAATAATATTTTTTGAGATTATATTTTGAACATTTTTGTGTTTAATCTTTTATCATATATATTCTGAACTAGATATAATTTGATCTGTTAATTGATCTTAAACTTGTTTGTCATCATCAAAATATCATATATTTCAATGCACAAATAGTTCTTACTAAAAACATGAGCATAACTC